CCAGAGCAGAGTCCAGGGGCATAATCCCCCCCCTCGCCCTGCTGGCCACGCTGCTCTGGATACAGCCCAGGATATGACTGGTTTTCCCTTAGGAGTTACCTAGGAAAGCTGGCTGGGATGGGAGGGGCCTGCACACCTCCAGCACGGCGAAACAAGCCAAGAAAGCATTAACTACTGCTCCTGAACCAGAAGGATTTCGTCCTTACCCTGCAAACACACTCTGGTTTCAGAGGTCACCCCTCTCCCCCCACCACACGCGGTGTCACGTGCTCAGCACAGCACACGGCCGTACTCATACCGAAACTCGCTAAGAAGCATTTAAACATTGTTCAGCCAAGCCACCACCACGGACCCAGCCAGGCCTGAGCGCAGCGTGTTGCAATACGTACCCTCGGGTCAACAAAGTCAGGGGACACGTTACCTTTAATTCTGCCAGTGATGTAGAGGAACCCATCTTTATCTTGCTTGCCAAGGTCACCCGAATGCAGCCAGCCGTCCTCGTCAATGGCCTCTCTGGTTTTTTCTTCCATGTTCAAGTAGCCCATGAAGATGTGCCGTCCGGAGAAGCAGATCTCCCCGTTGCCATCTCCGTCTGGCTTATGAATCAGCGTCCGGCAGCCCAAGACCTCCTTTCCACAGCTTGGAGAGAACACAGGCACAAACCCACGGCGTTTGCCCCTTTCCGTGCAACGGCTGAGCAGAGCGAGGTCACAGCGGTGGCCTCTCAAGCTGCAGTGTGTGACCAAAGCCAGGCGGCTCGTTACCACAACTGCCTCAGCCAGGAACCCACAAACTTAACGGGTTCTTGTAAGGGGAACCCAGAACAGCTGTCACTGCAGAGATCAGTGCTGGCGCACCTGGCGTTTTCTGCTCGTTGTTCTCAAACCCCTGAGCTTTGAGTGAGAAGATTTATGTCCTTGGCAGCAAACTTTTCCTGAGGGTGGTATTTACTCTGCAGACTGAACCCAGGGGGACTGCACAAGCCCTTCAAGGCGACAGCACAGCCTCTCTGCACTTACTCGGTTGACATTAAAGCAAACTGGAGGCCAGAATTAGCAATTCTCCCTTCTGCCCATCAATCCCTTGCCTCCTCCTCAGCTCCTAGAGGATTCAGGCCAAGCTGAATTCAAGCAACACTGCCGCTGCCCTTGGCAGATCCCTTCATCTGCAAGAGGTGGCCGAAGGAACTGGCTCCCCAGTGACTTTTACTGGCAGCAAGACCCTGGGGATGAGCTGCACCAGGCGAGACAGAGGTGGCAGAGGCAGGAGAAACCCCGAGGCAACCCCTCCTCCCAGCCTGCAGTGCTCCCAGCTGATTTACCTGGTCAGCCTGAACGCATGGGGCAGCGACAGCGTGTGAGGCCCAGAGCTCTCGCTCATGCCGTACATCTCAAACACGGGAATGTTCAGACTTAGAAAAAACTCCAGCGTCTCCCTGGTAATGGGAGCAGCCCCCGTGTAGCACTTTGTGCACCGCTCCAGCCCGATGGCCTTCCGCACTTTCTTGTACACCAGGTGCCTGGCTAAGCGGAAGTTCACCGGCACTTCGGAATACCTGCAGGAGAAAAACAGTTACAAGACGTTACTGGGTAGAACTTCAATCCTCCCTTCCTTTCACCTGCACCCTGTTTCAGTTTATCCAGTAAAAAAATCCATGGTTTCCCCCTCCAGCCCCTGCTGCTCACCCTCTGGTCCAGCACTGCATTTGGCTCTTACTGTCCCTACGTCTGGCCTGTTATGTGGGATGTAATTCCTGATCTGGCAGTGAAGCTATCCGAATACTCGTGGCGTCCCTCACGTGCAGTTCATAATTACCCATTCATCCGCTTCAGGTTGGCCTGCAGCCCCACTCCCTTGGCCCATGATGCCACTTTTCTTCTGAGTGCCGACGATTTTGCACCTACGCATTTCATTTTTTCTTCCATTTTTTCCCAGACACGAGGAACTCCCAGAAAAGCAGTTGGTTTCACTTCCCTCAGCGTGTCTACCAAGGTGCCCTGAGCAAAGCAGAAATTAATACAGCTTTCAGAAGTGCTTCACTGTAGATTTCAGGTCAGTGCTGGTCGCCACCCGAACCTTAGGGCCCTGCCACCAATTCTGGGGAACTGGCTCCTTTTCGATGCAGTGCCACCACGAGAAAGGACCCCCAGGAGCGCTCAAAGGCCACAGTGGTTTTGAGGAGACAGCAAGGGGCGATGCTTTCAGTGCCAACGCCGCCACAGCACCGAGAGAAGAATCTTTCTCCCTCAGGACACAGGTTTAGTGGTGGTGGCATTGTGCAATGTGGACAGAGCAACCAAAGCCATTGCTCAACCGAGCTGTCGGGGCTGGGAACTGATGTCAGGTGAGGCACCAAGGAGCTCCTAGCTGTGAAGTGCTTGGTCAGCTCCTCCGAGCTTGCAATACAGCCAAAAGGCAAAGGTCAGGGTGGCTGCCCTTGTCGAACCAACAGACCCTTAAACGGGAGCAGTCGGTCACTACACAAACTAGCTCAGCTCTCAGAATCGTGTGGTAAGGCAGCCACGTTTGTTTGAAAGCTCCCAGCCCAGCTGCAAGCAGGTGGATGGGTGTAGGATTTTTCTTCTCTTGTGTTTTTACCTTTAGTGCACCTGGCTGAGCAAAGAAAACTTGCACACCGAATGTTATGGCCAACCAAATGTCTGACATCTGTGCGGCGATGTGACTGAGGGGCAGGTAGCTGACCACCACCTCCTGCTTCTCCTTAGCGCTGGTCAGCATCATGGAGCGCCCTGCCGTCGACGCCGTCCACGTCAGCTGTAACAAGACCCCCCATCAGTCTCTGCCGAGCGGGCGGATCGCACAGCTCAGAAAGCACCTCCATGCCTTCCTGTGGCCTGCACCCCCGGCATGTTCTCCAGCTGATCTCTACCCCCCTCAGCACCCACCGAAGGTCACGGAATGGGCATTTGTTCCAAGAGATGCTTACGTTGTCATGACTGAGCATTACTCCCTTGGGCTGTCCCGTCGTCCCCGAGGTGTATATCAGCGTACAGCACTGGTTAGGCTTCTGCAACTCGATGATTTCGCGGAGCTGAGTGTCTGGAATGTCTCTGCCAAGGCCCATGAACTCACTCCACTGCATAGACAAGAGAAAAGCTCGATCACCTTGTAGGCCATCACTCACATGTGACATTACACATGCAGAGAAGGAAAGAGTTTCCTACATCCAAACCTCTGCAGACCCTGAAGGGGTTATAAATATGCACTGTCAGCCCCCCAGAATGTTTCGTAGAGAGGCAGAAAAGGAGACGGATCCACCCTGAGGAAGTTCATAGCTCTGCAGCAACCCTGGTACTCGGTGGGAGTGCCGAGCTGGAGCAACTGTGGGGCCTGAGGCTGCCGTGCAGAAGTCAGGACGCTAACACCCTCCCTTGCAACACGGATTATCACCGTTTGAACAACAGCCTACTGCTGCAGCAACCCCTCAGTGAAACCAACACAAGCTCAGGTGACGACAGGCCCGTGGAAGGTGATAATTGCCAGCCACCAGCTAAACACAGGCAGTATGTACAAGCCTTTAAGATGCCCAGCACTCACCGAGTACAGGTTTGGTCTCTTCTCTTTCAGCTCTTCCCCATACTGGACAATAGCTTTCAGATGAGGCAGTTTATCCTGAATCTGTGTTAAGAAGGGAGATTCGTGAGAAGCAGCAAACCCTGTCTGTCCCTTTTAAACCCAAGTGACCCACCATTTAGCTACTGCTACTTGCCATTTTAAGTGAAGCTAAGAGAATCTCATCTGTGTCACTGAAAGAATGGGGAAGCCTCACTGAAGACAGTAATCATTTGGATTGGGATGTTGCCAGACAACCTAGGGAAGGCTCAGTTGTTTGCTTTGGCTTCTCCTATATTAAGCTCAAGGCTTTTCTGAGCCGTGGAACCATGATTTAACCTCTCGGGAGATTTAGCACAAGTGACCACTTGTCTGGCTTGAGCAGGGTGCACACCAAGTGGGCTCAACCGGCTCACCTCTGCTTTCAGATCCAGTATTTCCCTCAGGTATTACCCTCCCACCTCTGTCAGTAGGACGTGGTAGCCCCCAGTCATTTAAAAATGTACTTACTTCTAAGATTTTCTGTAGCTGTTTATCGTTTTCCACCACCAGGACGTTAGCACAGCAGTTCTCTGCTACGTAACGACAGGCCTCAGGAGAGTTTGTAGTGTAGATACCAACAGCAAATCCGCTACAAAAGGGGAAAAAATCCAAACCCAGAAAAGTGAAACACAGAATTAAAGGATAAGCAGAGTTGCTGGCAAAAGTCAGATCATTCCAGACTTTACCAGAGGAAAAACTTTAGGAAGAATATCCCATAAAACAACAAGACAAAGCAGAGGGCTTAATTCCATGAGCAAAGGCTCTGTCCTGGGGCATGGGAAATGCCAGAATGGTGTATGGGACCACAGTGTCTCAGGTGGAAGGTGGCTGTCAAAGTCCAGCGCTGTGACTCTATGGCATTTCCCACCATATTTCAGCCAAAGGATCAGTAAACATGCTTTTGGATTAACCTACTGTTCATCTTGTTTTGAGAGAAGCACCTGGCTACAATTTTTTGGTTTTCTTCTCATTAAGTCATAATTAAGAGAGAGTTCAGGTTCTAGCTATTTTCATTAAAATCAAATATAAACAGGTGGATTTGGTTGGGTTATTCTGTGGTCTGTTTGGGGGTTTTCCATTTTAATTAAAAATTGCTTCTTACATCAGTACTGAAATTACTATCTGAATGCAAAAGCAAGCAAAATGCACGTCAAGAGGCAAGACTCATTCTTACCCTGCAAGGATCGCTCCAATGTCAGCAATAAACCACTCTGCAGAGTTAAATCCCAAGATGCACACTCCATGGAAACGCTCCAGTCCCAGCTGCAAACAAGAGATGAGATTACAGCAATCCTGGTTTTCCTCTGAAGAGTGCTTAGCGCTTATGCACAGATCTCTGCTGTAAGCACAATGTCAAGGGAAGAGGTCATGCTATTATACACAGTAATTCACAAGTAACTTCCCAAGACCTAATATGGAACCAGTTAAGTTTCACATCAGACGCTGTCCCACTATCAGTGGGCAGGAAAAAAGGATTTGCTTAGGTCTGCACTGGGTAAGACTCACTCAAAGGCACTAACGGTATTATAAAACTGCAGTCCAGGTAGTTACCAGTTCCCGTTGGGCTGGGCATGAGAAGGTAAGAGGTTAAGTAGGACAACACCTACTGAGACATTGAGTCATTTAGTACAGGTTAGATCATGTCAGAGATCAGTAATGGCAAGAGCAACAAGCTCCAATGACAGTCAGAGGCATTTTGAAATTCCAGCTGTTGAAGTCCCAGGCTTTAAATCTTCTTCAGCCATTCTCTGGTTTTGTCCCAGAGAATGGGATTACATACACTAGAAAAATCCCACTGTGGGAGTAAAGACAGAGTGGCCTTAACTTCAAGAAATAGAATCACAGAATGGTTTGGGTTGGAAGGGACCTTAAGGATCATGTAGTTCCAACCCCCCTGCCATGGGCAGGGACACCTTGCACTAGACCAGGTTGCTCCAAACCTCATCCAACTTCTTAATGATAAAAGTAAGTACATGTACTGCTGGTTTCTTTCTCTGAGTGTCTTAACTCCCAACAGTACAGGCAAAAGGCTCAGCCACTTGGGACATTTAAGTCTGATTCATAAGCATCCCTTCAGTTTTTTCTTAGAAAGACTAAAATTTACAAGCCTTATGATGGCTGTTGTCGAAGTTTGCCAAATACCTCAAACACATCAGTTTAAATGTTTACACTTACACACTATATTTTAGTTGAACGTGGGGGGGGTGGGGGTGGAAATCAAACAAAAACACTGCAGTAATTACCAAGCTACTTATGGCATGTTTAGGTATTTCCCTGTCACTTTAAGACTCACACTCAGAGAATTTGCAAGTTTAAGATATAGCTGACCACAGCCATTTCAGCAGTTGAACTGACTGAATGTGAAGGAGAAGCAGAATTCCACAGAAGCTTACCTTCAGAAAGCTTTTTGCTGCTTTCCAACACTCATCATAGTACATCTTGTATGTTAGTTTTATCCACTGGCCACCCTTCTTGGATGCAAGGGCATAATAATCACTGTATTTACTAGCAGCTTCCTGGAAGACCTCATGAACAGTCTTTGGTGCCTCACTGCCTACACCCTGTTCGTCCATCCTCAGTCTGACCTCTCCATCTCGTCGCGTTGTCCATATACTGGAGGCAGGTGGGGAAGAGGCTGGTTTGAAAGAAATGTGTTCAGAATCTTATATTTAGAAATTGCTCACTGCCAGAACAAAAATAAAACCACAAGTACCAAACACATGAAAGCAAATGCTATTATACCCCCTCCCGCACTCCTTTTTGGACCTTTTATCCTTGGCAAGTTTGCCACACGACTCCCAGCATTTTAGACCAGGACTAGTAGATGAAGTCTCTGAAGCACTTTCAAAATTCTGCTAAACATTTCCCATTTACATCCCTCCTCTAACCTGCTTTGCTGCCCTAAAGCTCTTGTACAGGTAAGGTGGCGGCTTCCCGCAACAATCGGTGCTTTGTGTTTGAAGGAGGACTGGAGGTCACACGTCACGACCTGGCAGATAAGCACTAGGCACTGACATACCTGTGTCACTCCTTGAAGCACATCCATGCTTTAAAGTCTAAGTTCCAGAGGCTTCTGGACAGACCATCCCACAATTTGAATTTCTTCTTCCATCGTCATGGTTTGATGAACTCCTCCCTCATTTCCATAATGATTTTACATGCACCACAGTAACTAAAAATTCTTTCCACTTACCTTTGAATCCATGCATGTCTGTCTGACATCTCTCCATCTGAGTATCCTTGGCTGTCTCAGTGCTGTGGATCTCAACAGTTCTGCAAGACAGAAGCAATTAGCCCTGGAGAGGCTTTAGGACAATGGCTCAATAACACCTTAGGCTGCTTGCTCCACCACTTAATTGTATTACTCCTTGGATATCGCAGTGCTTCCTGATGTTCTGCAAGTGACTTTCTTAATTCTACGGGCCCACATGGCTATGGCAACGCAACACACCCCTCTCAGAGTGTGCAAGCTTTGCCTGCACCACTTTTAAACACAGGCATGTTGTCCTAACGGTCGCCATCATTTCAGACAAGCTGCAGAAGAACCCATAAACACAGTAATACCCAAGGTCTGCTCCAGGCGCCTGAAGCAAAGAGACCACAGCATGGAGGAGGGGGCAGGAAGGGGCTTTCAGATCTGGTGCTTATCTCCTGTCTGCAAAATGCGAGTCTAATGCAGAGGGGGGCCCCGCAGTCCCACTCCTGTGCTGTACAGCAGGCCCCCCGCTAGTCACCCTGCAGGGAACCCACAGAGATTTCCTGCAGAAGGCCAGGCCAGCTGAAGAGCAGGAAATTGATTTAACAGGAAATCTTGTCCTTAGGTATTCCTAATAAAGTTAACGCATCGGGCTCCCACCAGATGTTTGTGCAGAAATGGAAACAGGCACATCCCCCCTCCACTTCAGCCCCGCTCCTCACCAGGAACCCGTCCCACGGCCCCAGCTGGAAGCTGCCCCTTTTACTCTCATCTTGCAAGATGTAGTGAAAGACCACCCGCCCGCATTTGTAGGGGACCACCTCCGTCCCTTTCCAAGGCAGCCTCTCTCACAGCCGTAAGTGGTGAGGATAAGGAATAATCAAGTCACAGGTCCCACTTCAGACCACAAGTTGGAAGCCAGACCCTGTGAGATTTGGCATTCAAGTCCCTAGAAGGACATCCCACCCTCCAACCTTCAGGCAGAGGAGGCTTGTCCCCCTACCCTGAGCAAAACCCCGCTTGTACCACAGCTGTGGCACTAAGGTCCAAGGTTTAGTTGGCCCACGATCATATTCCAGAGAACCAAAATTTCCATCTTGCCTTGCCGCACAGCTGTGCCGGGTCCCTTCGCTCCAGGCCATCACGGTGTTTGTTTCCTGCCAGTGCTAGGCGTCTATTCTTCCCCGTCCGGTGCTTCTCCCTAGCACTGACTCCTGGGTCTTCTAACAGGGCTGCAGACCTCTGACATCACAACAGCCCCAACCTACCGCAGGGGCAGCTCTAGAAGCCCCGACAACTGCCTGCCACGCTCAGACCACACCCGCAGACAAGAGCTGCTCCGGTCCCATGCAAACTCCTCGCCCCAATCCACACAGTGTTCCCGCCTAGCCCCATGTTTTCTTGTCTTTCTAGCAGACCAAAGAGAAGACAGCACAAGGCACTGTGTGAATTCCAGTGCAAGGGGTAAATCGCTCCCCTCCGGTTTATGTTGTCTCTGAATTTCTAGGGGATACTCAACTATTACTGCTTTGGACATAGGGTGAGGTTTAAGGCACAGATAAGATTGGACATAGAATCATAGAATCACAGAATGGTTTGGGTTGGAAGGGACCCCAAAGATCATCCAGTTCCAGCCCCCCTGCCATGGGCAGGGACACCTTCCACTAGACCAGGTTGCTCCAAGCCTCATCCAGCCTGGCCTTGGACACTTCCAGGGATGGGGCATCCACAGCTTCTCTGGGCAACCTGTCCCAGTGCCTCCCCACCCTCTCCGGGAAGAACTTCTTCCTGATATCCAATCTAACCCTCCCCACTTTCAATTTAAACCCGTTACCCCTTGTCCTGTCACTACAGACCCTTGTAAAAAGGCCCCCCCAGCTTCCTTGTAGCCCCTTCAGGTACTGGAAGGTGCTGTAAGGTCTCCCAATGGCTAATCCCATTGCTGTCCAAGAGCAGAACTGCTTCTCCTAACTAATTTGCGAGCCAGGAACCAGAGGGAAGTAATTTTCTTTTTCCTTTATTTCCCCCAAAAGGGTTACGAGATGTTCCCTACTATACACTTCCTCCTCACTAGCAAGGGCATTTTTCAGCACAAATTAATTCCTCAGTTGCAACAGTTCTGCACCATTTCTCCACCTGCCTTTATGATCAAAGCACGCGAACCACCCAATAATAATGAGCAAAAAAGCCCAGATATTTCCCTGCCAGTGAATCAAATCAGCTTTTTCTCCGGTTTACTGCATAGAACTCAAACGCAGCCTAAAAGAATTAGGCAAGGAGTTTTTTGTCAGCTACATCCTATTCCCCTGTGGTGAGACACAGACCCTTAACTACTAATCTGCTTCTAGTAAGAGGCTGCTTAGATTTACATGCAGACAACAGGAGTTTGATAAAGATCAGCACAGGTACTGTACACAAACTATCCCCTGCAGAGGCTCCTCCCTGTTCACAGTACAGCAACACCTCACCAACAATGGAGTACTGGCTGGGTATCTGAAGTGTTTGATCAGCGCCCTCCCAAACACACAGGTTAACAATTGTGCAAAGTCCCTTTTTTCAGAGGTGATCTTTCTGACTACTGAAAACATTCTGCCATTCCTGCGCCTGAAGTTTATATTAAATGCACACTGCTTCAAGCTCCATACTCTGTGTGGGAGCTACGTACAGCAAATTTAATTCTGTTCCTCTTCTTTTGAGAGGGTGAGATTGTAGATGGAGCTTTTGGATTTTGGAAATGGTAACAAATGTTTGAAATTTCTTTAAAGAATATTAACCTAAGTAAACAGGTAGAATACACACTATATTCTGTGTGTACAAGTCACCACAGAGGAAAAAAAAAATCAGACGAACCTTGCTGCAGAGTTGAGCTGTACATCTTCCAGTGACACCTCACAGCTCTCTCGAGGATCTGAATTAAAATAAGCCACGGGAACTGGTTCCGCAAGTGCCATAGGTGCCTCCGACTCACACAGCATTGTCCCTGTAAAAACAGGTTTTAAAAATGAAAATGCAATCACGCGCCACAGGAAAAGCAGCGGCCACTGACACAGCTGTCCGGCGGGGCAAGCCCGCAGCAGGCGTGACTCCAGACTGCTGTATTTGCATGAAATATGGTAAATTCTAACAGCAGACAGAGCCCACCCCACATCCCCCCTCGGTGCTTCCGAAAAACCAGCGGCAGACGATACGCCCCTTCCCACATCCCAAACTGACGGTGACAGTGAGAGCTTTGAAAGCGCACCGCGAGCCCAATTTTACACTCCCTTTGCCCCAAAGGTTCCCGCCCGGCTCTGAGACCCTCACCCCCCCAGTCCACCCCAGCAGGGCTGCGGGACCAGCCTCAGCACACCGCCTGCACGCCCTCTCCTCCCGCAGACGGGTAATACCCGGTATTTTTAATCTAGCGCCCAGGAGGCAGATCCGGAGCATCTTATGTCATGTGCTGCCTGCCTCGCAATTGGAAGCGGCTCCTCACCCCACACCAGCGTCGCTTAAGGAAGCTCTGGCCCCACGCCTGCCTGCCAGCCTCAGGCACTCGGGGGTTTGAGGTCCCAGGACACCCCAGAGATTTAACCTGGTCTCAAAAATCAGCACTTCTGCAGCCGTTGGTTAGCGGCTCCTACGCCGCTCTCCGTACTTTTTCCTTGGGGGATTTTACCACCTAAACGAAGCGTTTTCTAACGCAGAAAGCAGTGTTGGTTTTATTGAAGGTTTCCATTCATTAAAAGCCTTTGATGCCTATAACTTGACAGGCTGAGCTTTAATTGTTCCAAGGAATTTCTCACTGGAGATGAGTCTCATGATCCTTGACCTTTTCCAAAAGTGGATTTTACGATGCTGTTTTGTACCTGCCTTAGACACCGTTTAAAGCGGGCGATGTGAAGGGCATGTTTGTCCGAATGATGACAAACAGGAGCAAAAGGAAAGAGCCCTTTTACTTAATAAATCCGACACATGGCGTGTGGGAAAAGCCACGGCCAGGCAGACCTGCCCCCAGCCCAGGAAAGCACGTTCCCCCCTTCCGCTGCCTCATCTACGCCAGGACCCGTTGCAGCTCATGCCACGCGCTGCTGCAGGCTACAGTCACGACACAAAACTAGTTCGATTCACAAGCAGCCGAGAAAGGGATGTCTCCAAAACTCCCGAAGCGCCAAGATAACTGGCAGACATCACCCAATGCCCCGCCTTAGGCTAAGAGAGTGGGTTATTGTGTATTTTTTACTAAGGCAGCCGTGAGAAAAGCGACGTTATCTCTGCAGAGCAGCCCCGTGCTGGCTCAGCCGCCCACACCTGCAAACCCTGGGCTGAGTGCCCTCCCCAGCGTGGAAGAGCCCAAACCCACATCTGGAAGAGCCCAAACCCTGCCCAGGACCAGACTGCGAGGTGCCTGCTGGAGGTGTCCCCGCAGGGGCTCAGGGCACCAGGCGAGGAGGAACCTGCCATAGCAGCTGTCACAGGCCTCCCCCCCTTTCACAATACTGTACCCACATTCCTCCCCAGAGCCCCTCAACAAGGAGGCTAAGGCTCCCGTCTCCCTGAAGAAAGCTTTTCTCTCTGTGCTAATTCTAGTGTTTCTCTTGCCATCTGCTCTTTCACGGAGCAAGAAAGTTTCCAGGGCAAGGGCGGAGGTGTCCTGGCGCCAGCTATCTCGCGGCGCAGCCCGCAAGCCCTGGGGTGGCAGAGGTTGGTTGGAAACCCATTGGGCAGAGAAAGTCTCCTCTCCCAGACAGGCGTTTTGGCTGGGTTTGTGCCTCACCCCCAGCCACTCCAGCGGAAAAAGCGTTTCACAGCGGAGACCGTAACGGCATTCTGCCCTGGCTGCGCCATGCACGTGCTCTCCACCGAGACTCCCCCGTACGGGGCACAACCCTGACAGCAGGGTCCCTGCGGACGGCTGGGTTTGGTTCCAGGTATGGCACAAAGATCATGGCCACAAGGCTGGACAACTTGAGAGACAGGGAGACACAGCAGGACATCACTGTCTTTCCAGTGGGATGAGTTGTGGCTGCTCATGCCACATGGCACTCAACAGCCGGAGAGCAGCAGCAGAACTTCTGGCGTGCCCGTGAAACAAAAATTACAGCCTGGTTGTGCAAGGTGGACGCAGCCTGTAGGAGTCCCAAGTCACTCATGCATTTTATGCAACAAATCCGGGTCAGAAACAAGGATTTGCCAGTACATACTCTCCCCGGCTCTGCTAAGCAGTGCGGCTAGCTCCTGCCTCCCTGATGCTCGCTGACAAGCACAGCTATGCTACACTGGAAAGCCCACACACGCTCCCCCCAGCCAGGCTTCTCGGGGGTGAAGGGCATCAGGAACGGTCCCCTCCTGTTCTTTCCAGAGGAGTTCGCACACTGTGAGGTTCATGAACGCACACAGATGTTGAGGAACATGAAGAACGCACACCCAAAAAAAACCTGCTGAAGGAAACCTCCCTTTTAATTAATCCTGTGTGACAACTTAAGTCATTTAAATACCAAGCATCTTCCGCTTTGATGGAGGAGCGCTGCGCCTGGGAGCTGGCGAACGATTTCACTGCCAGAACAAACCAGAAGTCTGACTGCACACAGAGTCGGGGCAGGAGTGAAGGTTTCATTCATAACAGGCTCTGGACATGCCTCCACTGAAAACACAGGCAGAGCTTCAAAAACACCAGCTCAAATTCAAATTATTGCGTACGTTCATCAGCCACCCTGGCATTTCCCAGCACAGCCCACTCTGCTGCCGACTGTTACTGGGCGACACCACATCTGATCTGATCCGATGTTCACTGTCCTGGTCAGTTTTAGGAGATACTCCCGCCTTATCTCACTGCCTTTCGCTGAAACTTGGCCTTCTTGTTCCTTTGTCTTCCCTGAAGACATACTGAGTGAGGAGACAGAAACTGAGCAACCCACTCATCCTCTTTTAGAGCCATTCCATTTTTAGGAGGGCAGTGATCAAAACTTCCGAGGCATGAAAGGTTTTCTCCTGGGCAGTACCACGGGTCGGTGTATGGCTGTGCTGGGAAATGATCCCAAGCTCTCCGGATGCAGGAGGGCAGACAGCGTGAGGAAAACCAACCCCAACCCCTGTAAGGATGAAAGCACGCCAAAGCCCTTCAATGAACGACATGACTGAAGACACGTGACAGCACCTCGGCACCTTCAGTTTGACATCGCGTTGTCAGCTCGACCCAGGGCCTGCCCAACCCACGAAGGGCACCGGCACGGGCTGACACCGGGGGCTGGAGGCATCAGCACCGCGCAGCTCCTCAGCCACGTAGGCTGCGGCGTTACTCGTTATTCTAAATTTAAGCAGCCTTCCAGTGCCTGAAGGGGCCGAGAAAAAAGCTGGAGGGGGACTTTTTACAGGGGCAGGTAGAGACAGGACAAGGGGCGACGGCTTTGAACTGAAAGAGGGTGGAATAGATCTTCTATCTAACATAATTATAATCTTATATCTAACATAATTACATATATTAGATATATTCTATACAAGAGTATATTAGATGGGACATCAGGAAGGAATTCTTCCCGGAGAGGGTGGGAGCACTGGGACAGGTTGCCCAGAGAAGCTGTGGATGCCCCATCCCTGGGAGTGTCCAAGGCCAGGCTGGATGAGGCTTGGAGCAACCTGGTCTATGGAAGGTGTCCCTGCCCATGGCAACTGGGGGGGCTTTAAGGTCCCTTCCAACCCCAACGGTTCTGCGGTTGGGTTTCCAGGACACCGGTACATTTTAGGTGAATTCCCCTGCAATGACTCACCAGGAGGCAGGTGGAAGTTCCTCTTTCCAAAACTGCTCTTCGCTCTCCTAGCCAGCTGCAGTTTCCGTGCAGGTGGGAAAGGCCCGCAGGAAGAGGCAGCAAGCCCAGGGCTGCGCTCCGAGAGACACATCACCCCGTTCCTGCCACCCGCGCGCCCCTCCAGCCGGCATCTCCGCTGGAGGCAGGGCCCGGCGTGGGGC